CAGCGGCCGTGGGGGAGGGGATGCGCCCACGCGTGCTGCTGCTCGTGGCGAAGGCGGGAGCGGGCCGCGCAAACAAGATGGTGGCGCCCTGGGGGGTGGGGGCGCCGCTTCCGCGCGCCGCGTGAGCCCGCTGTTGCTCCGGCGCTGACACCGGCTTCGCTCCCAGCAGAGACCAAGGTGTACGTGGGGAACCTGGGCACGGGCGCGGGCAAAGGCGAACTAGAGAGAGCCTTCAGCTACTACGGGCCCCTGAGAACCGTGTGGATCGCGCGGAAACAGCCGGGGTTTGCCTTCGTGGAGTTTGAAGACCCGAGGGATGCTGAAGATGCTGTGCTCGGCCTCGATGGGAAGTACGTGCATGCCTAAAACCTCCTTGACTGCTCTGGCTGCAGTTTCTGACCTCCTAAGCCTGTACCAATCATCGATATCCGTTCTGTGTGTAACAAGCACAGGGGAGAAGAGTATTCCTATGATTAATACATACTGTGTCTCTTGCAGGATAATATGTGGCTCCAGGGTTAGAGTGGAAGTGTCAACAGGGATGCCTCGTCGCTCCCGTTACGACAGGCCTCCTGCACGGCGCCCCTTTGACCCTAATGACAGATGCTATGAGTGTGGTGAGAAAGGCCACTATGCTTATGATTGTCACCGCTATAGTCGCCGAAGGAGGAGCAGGTATGTGTGGGGCCAGAGTGGCTGGGTTGCTTCACCAGTTCACTTTTGTGTAGCTCTTGTTAGCAAAGAACAGAATGTTACACCAGTTTTAACTCTTAATGTTGTAAGTCAACAGGTGTATATCACAATTTTTTTTGCTAATACATATAAAATGTTAATATCTTAATAATCAACCTGGTCAAAACCTTTCAGGTTTCTTCGTTTGAGTCAGTCGCCTTGATTCAGAATGTCACGAGCCTTAAGATTTCATGCTGAGGCGCCTTGCAAATCCGACACTTAAGATCCTCCTAGACCTTGAGGTGATCAGCATAAGAGGCCAGATCCCCTCGAGCCATCTACACGTAGCTTCACCTTATTCTTTAAGGGCAGAAAATTTGAGACGGTGATCGCCGTAACAGTAAATTTGGCTTTCAATTGGGGCCCCCCTCCGGTTTAGAAAGAGGAACACCAGATTGACCACATTCCCACCTAGAAAAATCTTCTTGCGTCAATCAAGCCTCACCCTGGCTCATTGGGCTGTCAGTTTGATCGTCGTTAGATTGAAGAGAACACCTAGATGCAGCGATCGGCTATAGATACTTCTAGATCGTCTAGATCTGCTAGACCTTGGGCCAAAGAGGGTCGACCTGCAAACTTGCAAGGTTTATTTTAAATACGCATTACAGTGTTTTCTATTCTAATGTAATTCTGCAATGTAATTCAGCTTTTAACATTTTTCTAGGTAGTAAAATGCTCAAGACAAGTAGGCCCAGAGATTTTTCCAACTGACAGATGCTAGTGGTGTGTTTTTGTTCTTTTTGTTTTGTTTTGTTTTCTTTTCTTTTTAGTTGTCTGAAATCAGTTTTGACTTCAGCAGGGCCTCACGTGCACTGATTGCTGCAGCTGTTTCCTGATACCTGTTTTCTCTAACCTAAAACCAGGTCCCGGTCTAGATCCCGTTCAAGGTCCCGAGGAAGAAGGTATTCTCGGTCACGCAGTCGGAGTCGCGGTAGGAGGTAGGGTTCTGGCTGTTGTGTTTTCATTCTTGTTCTTACTCCTCTCTCTGCTCCACCCCTTTTTGTAGTCCTCGTGAAAAGTACCTTGCAGTGATTTTTGTTGTTTTTTTCCCTTTGTTTTGTAGATCAAGGTCAGCTTCTTACCGCAGGTCCAGGTCAATCTCTCCTCGTAGGTATAGATCATTTTCACCACGCAGATCTCGGTCTGGTTCTTTAAGGAGATCAAGGTATGTGTTTTCTATTAAGCCCACAACGTTGTTGAAGGGAACGTAACTGTTGGAGTTAACGTTAACTTTATATTTTGCAGTCCATGTGTTTGAAGGTACCTTCATGGTGTTATATCCCTGAGAGCTAATCTGAACGCTTTCTTTGAAGTTAAAAACTTAAGCATATAATTTAGGAACTGCTGTTTCTGAGCTTTTTTTTTTATACTGTACCAAAGTTACAGCCTTGATCTATGGTTAAGGTTTCCTGCTTCAGCTTCAAGGATACAGGGAGTAATTATGCTCAGTCGACTAGGGTAGTGGGCTTTCTTATGTGGATGCTAGTGCTGGCCAAAAGTGCTACAGCTTTCTAATAATAAAAGTTACTTCTGCAAAACCAGTAGTTCCAACAAAATTCTCTGAGGTCAGCATCATAAAAGTCAAAGAATGCTCTCTCCTCTGTATGAATCATGTAGTAGTAGTAGTAGTTGAGCTTTCACTGCTTTTTTTCTAGATCTAGGTCCAGATCGCGCTCAAGGTCCCGGTCTGTTGTATGGCCTCGAAGCAGGTAAGATACTTGTTTTAATTCAAACCAGTAATAGTTTGGGGGGGGGGGGGGGGGGGGGGGGGAGTTACAAGGTTGTGCAGCATAGCAATATTCGCACTTAATTTATGCCTTTTCACAGAATAAAGTAGTGGTTGATTTCTTGCAAAAAACATGAGTTTGTTTTAGTCTGTGGTTACTATATATAGTCTACCATATATGTAGCCATAAACAAAGTATATATACAATTTAAGGACTGTGGAGAGAAGTTTTGAAAACTAGTTAATGCCTATGCATGTAGAGAATGCTTGACCTTGTGTCCTACAGGAAGTGCTGCTTAGGTTTTTCTTGGCATGCTTTTTTGTAAATCCCAGACGCTGGGGGGAAAAAGCAATGAGAGGGTTGCCACTATTGTCTGAACTCTTGCTTACAGTTTTTCAGCTTTGTGAGTTCCAGTTCTGGGAGTTAGATCAAATTAAATTGCTGTAGTGCTAAGAACTACATTACATGAGGTAGGACGCTTGACTTCAGAGGTTTGGAGGGCTGAATGAAGAGGACGATGAGTCCTAATGCCATAGGTAGTGTTTTGAAGGACTTCTCTTGACATGCAGCCCTGGTTTTGTGGATCTGGATGTTTTCCATGCTGAAATGGAAGTTGAGGAAAATGGGTATAGAGTAAATGCTCCTGCATTATTTTCCTCTATCCTTTGTGATAGTTGGAAGAAGGGTGAAAGTGTAGGATAAAATGTGATGGGCATGAGAGCTGATAAGTTGGAAGAAGTTGTCTTTTTGTTTTGCATTAGAACGGGGGAAGATAAATGTTTTTTAGGGATCTTCCTGTTAATTTAGGACTTGCACATTGAGCCTTTAAGGGGATGATGGTGATTATTACTAGAGCTGTCCTGACTTACTACTCATACAGGCCTGTAATGCAGGAGATGACTAGCCAGGCTCAAATTGCATGCTGCTACTGTGGAAGAGTCTGGATACAGTCATGTTCCTGCATGAAAGACTTGATACTCTTACTGAAATTTCTGAGGAATGCTGACTTTGCATAGGTCTGCAATTGCAGTGGTGAGAAGTGGTAGTTCAGGGCTGGAGTTAAGGAAGCATTGTGAAAACTCCAGCCAGTGCTGGTCCTCTGCTAATACAGCAAAACACTAGTATGTAACCGGTGCTGCTTCTAGAGCTTTTGATCTGCAGTCCTGCTTTGTTGCTGTGCCTCTCGGAAGGAGGATTTGTCAGCAGTTCTTGTAGTAAGATGATGATCTTGTGTGCTGCCTTACTGTATTTCTTACCAAAGGAAGGCATGCTCATGCTACAAAATAAAATTTCTGGGTAGTTGTGAGCAACTACATCCTGTGTAACTGTGACACAGTAACAAAATTACTGGTTACAGTGTTAGGAACTGTGACAGAGGATGGCTCAGCGTAGTGACCAGGAAGGTTTCAAGGCAGTGGCACGTAACTCTGTTTAACTTATGCCAACAGTGTCCACATAGTATTTCTGTAAGTTAATAGGCCAGGTAAAGGTGAATCTTGATTACCCTTTAAAAACAGTTCTGAGCAGAAATAGGATAAAAGTTAGTTACTTTTTTGGCCAAGTCTATTAAACAACTGATTGTCTTGAACACTGGGCTTTCTGATGTTTAGTAATACCACATGCCTAAACTCTGACACTCTAGGAGGACAACTATTTTTCTAAGTAACAGCAAATACTTGAGTTCGTAAAGTAACATGATAAATGTGGGAGGAAAGTCTCACTGTTTGAGTAGATTTTAATTAATAATACAAACTGGGAATAGTTTACACATTAGTAGCCAGATATCAAAGAGAAAACCGAAACGCTGTTTTCATTGGGATAACTGGTGAAAAAGCTATATTATACTTGAATAAAAGTGGAACTGGGAACTTGATCTGAAGAATGCATCAGCTCTTGAGCACACATGCTTACCTGTGGCTGATTCCAGGCTCTTAATGTACTATTAAAAGACTTTCTAAGATGACACTTGAAACTATTCTTCCTTTTACGGAAGGGGTACTTGCAGGTGGGGAGAGAGTCTGGCAGCCTGGTACAAGGTCTTCTGTTTTGTGAAAGTGGTAGCTGAAGCTTTGCTGGGGAGCTTCTTGTGCTTGTACTCTTGTCTTCTGATAAGTGGGGTCTCTGGAATAAGAGCTAAAGGATTCTCCTGAAATGTCACGAGAAAAGCCTGCGGCACCAGAGCCTTCCTCTCTGGTTTGTGATGCTATGTAGTATGAATTTGCTGTTGCTGGTTTAGCTAACTTTCATTGTATGTGCATGCCACTGGCTGCTTCGCTGAGCTTTATTTTTCTCCTGTTGTAGGTCTGGGTCCCATGGTAGATCTAAATCTGGCTTACCTGCTAAAAGGTGAGCGTATAAATACAAGTAGCACTCAGTTTTGTGGTTTGTGGTGGGGTTTTTTTGTGGTTGTTTGTTTTTTTTTTTGTTATGATTCAAAATATCTGCTTGGACCAGTATTTCAGTTGCACGTGGAAGAGGTCGTGTTTTGTTTTGTTTGTTTGTTTTAGTAGCTGATTTTTAAAATATTTTTCATACATTATCTTTATGTATTTTTTTTATAGCCATTTTTGTGGGACAGTAGGCAATTCTTCCAGAAGGATTGTGGGTAGAGGTTTTTGTTTAACCCATGATTGTGACAAAAAGTATTTTTGACAGGATTTGGGGCATATCTTTCCCTACCTTTGTTCTCAACTGTCTGTAGTTATCAGTCTTCCTGACTCTCCTCTACTTCATTCACTGCTCCTGCTTTGCAGGATTACTGTGATCGTTTTATAGCTGCTTTGAAGCTGTGTGTTGCTCTTTTCCCAAGGGCTCTGGCTTTCAGCAGTTTTCCTTTTCAACTGCAGCTTCTTGCTTAAAATAATTGGGTATACTTGCTATCAGCAGCATTAAGGGTGGTGTCTTTTAATGTATTTAACGTCAGACTGTTCTTACTGTTTTTAAATGGTCAAAAGTGGTTACTGAGTGTATACAAGATTACCACATTGATTGTTTTGTTTTGTTTTTTTAACAGTCGCTCAAAGTCCAGATCACCATCTCCAAAGAGAAGGTAAAAACTCCTTAAAACTGGAGTGTGCCATACAGTTACATAGAACTAGTGTCTGGAGTGGTTGCTATAGAAGTTAACTTGTGCAAGGATAAAAGCTTAAAGTTTTTTACTTGTCTTTATTTGTGAACTATGAAAAGATGAATTGTTACGGGCACTTCCTACCGCTGGTAGTCAGAACTTCATGACAATAACTCTAAGGTAACGTACTTTAATGAAATTTTAAAGGACAACAGAAAATGTGGGCAAATGAGGATCAACTATCCCAAAGTTCCTGAGGAATTTAGAATCTGGGGAAGAAGTGAGTCATGTAAGGTATGGAGCAAACGATGAATAGGTGGTAGAATTAAATTCCTGCTGGTGGCTCCTCACAGCTGGCTCTCACTCAGTTAGTCACACAGCTGCCAAGTTTTGCTATGCACTGTGAAGTAAGAAGCAAGTTTTCCTATGTAACCAGAGAAGTATGTGCTGGAATCGATGTAGTCTGAGATAGTGCCTCATGGCTAGCCCTAAACTGGAACATGTAGGTTATGGCAGAGTAAGAATTCCTCTGCACAGCTGGAGTGCAGGCTCCAAGGTGCTTTCTGAGCAGACTCAATGTCTCACCTGTCTGTCGCAGCTGATGTCTCTTACTTTGCCTGCCCTTTTCAAGCTTAAAACAGTTGTTGCTTATAAAGGTGTAAAATATAACACTTTTCTCATTATTCATGAACTGTAAATGAAAACAGTGTGGAGTGGGGCATTATGAGGCTGGGGGGGGAGGGTTCCTGAGCAGAGGAAACCTGGGGTAGCATGCAGAGTTTCTGTTGGTTTTGTTGTAGGAGTTGCTCTTAATCTTTTTTTTTTTTCCTTTTCAGTCATTCACCATCAGGAAGCCCTTGAAGGAGTGCAAGTCCTGAAAGAATGGATTCAAATTCAAAAAGTTTAAGAAGAAAATTTATTTTGTTTACATTATTATAAGGGATTTTGTGGTGTCTTTATAAATGTAAGGGCTTAGTCCTAGAAGGCTGTTTCTATTGACTAACAATTGGCATGAATCTGGATCTTTTAAAAGTCTTATTAGTAGACAAATGCGAAACTCTTGTTGTGTTAATGTTCTGTGATCTGGAAATGTTGGGCTTTTTTTTATTGGCGCGTTGAAATAAACTGTGCATTTCTAACTAAGAAATATTTTGATAACCCCGTTAATATTTGGGTAGCTGAACCAGGTCATGTGCCACTATGGTGAAAAGCAGGAGGCAGGCTGTTAAGGGCACCTGTGAACTGGGGGGAGCGCAGCCGACCCAGCGGGGC